GTCCTCTGAGAGGGTAGGCGTACGGGACACGCGATCCTGGCAACAGGGTGCAACGGAAGGTGCCTCGTACACTCGTTGGAAAATCACTAACCGAGCTGCGTCCAGGCAGGCACGAAGAGGAGGATGAGAGGAGGAGGGGGGATTCGCGTGCGCTGGGCAGGATAACGAGCTTCAGCTGAGCTCACCTCCGAGGTGGGCGGTGGCCGTGGGCTCAATCCGGGCATCGGGGCGTTTCATCTCGAGTTCGAGGTTGCAGGTTTTCGGAAGCTTCGTCGGTTCGCGGCTGTTTCCCACCCTCGGGATGCCTTCCAGCGTCTGCGCCTCGCCGAGGGCGTTCCAGGGTGCCCGGATCGTCCCGAACGGCCGCTGGAGAGCCGAGTCAGAGCCCGAACACCGCCGAAGCCCAGATCTCCGACGAGATGACTTTTGCAATCTTGGCGTTTCCCTCCACTTCGAGCCCCTGGGAGCTGTTGCGGGGCTCTGGCGCCATCAACAAAGGATCCGGGACGAAGAACTGCCGGGAAAGCGATCGGGGCCTCTGGGGCCGCGGATTGAAAAAAGCACATCGGCAGATGTTAGTGATGGGGCCACGGAACGTGCGAAACGAATGCCGAATCGGGTGCGGGGCACATGCAAACTTCGCCACTAGGGCCTCCGGTGGAGCTCCCTATGGGGCCACGAAACGTGCGAAACGTGAGCCGAATCGGTTGCGGGAACGCATGCGAAAACCGCCACGGGGGCCATCGGTGAAACTCCCTGTGGGGCCACGAAACGTGCGAGGGGTGTTTCGAATCGGGTGGCGGGGACGCACGCGAAAACCGCCACTGGGGCCTTTGGTGGAGGGGTGTCCCGAATTTGGCTGTGGGAACGCATGCGAACACCGCCTCTGGGGCCTTCGGTGGAGCTCCCTAAAGGGCCACGAGACGTGTGACGGGTGTTTCGAACGGGGTGGCGGGGACGCACGTGAACACCGGCACTGGGGCCTTCGGTGGAGCTCCCTATGGGACCACGAAACGTGCGAGGGGTGCGCCAGCATGGCAGTGAAGAGAGGGAAGAGGGACAAGCGGGAGGATGAAGGTGAGGTGAGGTGGGACGCGGGGCACTGTTTCAAAAGATGGTTGGGAAATACTCGAGAGGCCAACTCTGCCGCGCTCGGCAGCCCCGAACTCGCACTGCAGACGACCCCCAAACCCCCGACAGCGCGGGAAGGCCAGAGAATGCAAGGCCAGGCGATTATGTGGAACGGCGGCGCGGCCTCTCCCGCCTGAAACTTCCTCGCCCGCCCGCCCGCGCACCCGCCCGCCGTCTTGTCCGCCAGCCCGCACGCCCGCACGCCCGCCCGCCCGCCAACGCGCACGCCCGCGCGCATGCCCGCCCGCCCGCCCGCACGCACGCCCCCGCGTCTGCCCGATTGCCCGCCCGCCCGCGCGCCCGCTCCCCCTCCGTCTCCCTTCTCCGTCTCCCTTCTCCGTCACTTGCTCCTCCGAAGCGGCCACCAAACCGAGCCTGGGCGATCTGGCGCGCGGCCGCAAAAACTCCTTCCCCATCACCCTCACCCTCACACATCACTCTCACCCTCCTACATGTCCTTCCTCCTCAACTTCCGCATCCTGCCCCCGTCCACCAATGTGCCGCCGATTTCCACACCCCGGGGTGTCCTGAGAACCTCGTCTTTCTCCTCCTCCTCCTCCTCCTCCTCCTCCTCCTCCTCCTCCTCCTCCTCCTCGTCCTCCTCCTCCCCTCCCCCCCCTTAGGATGTGCAAGGCCCTCCGTTCGCTCTCTGGGACTGAGCCACCGCGCAGTGAGCGGTGGGCCGCGCCGCGAGATCGCGGCCAAAGGCGGCGCTGCCAACCTGGCGGCATGGCATCCGCAAAGCCATGCCACAAATATCACCACCATCATCATCATCATCATCATCATCATCATCATCATCATCATCATCATCATCATCATCATCATCATCATCGTCAGCAGCAGCATCAGCAGCATCAGCATCATCATCATCATCAGCATCAGCAGCAGCAGCATCATCATCATCATCATCATCATCATCATCATCATCAGCAGCAGCAGCAGCAGCAGCATCATCAGCATCATCACAACCACCATTACCATCATCAGCAGCATCAGCATCATCGTCATCATCACCTTCTTCATCAGCAGCAGCATCATCATCAGCAGCACATCATCAGCATCATCATGATCATCGACATCATCATCATCATCAACAACAGCAGCATCATCAACAGCATCCTCATCATCAGCATCAGCATCATCATCATCAGCAGCATCAACATCATCATCGTCATCGTCGTCATCACATCATAATCCAAATCATCAGCATCAGCATCAGCACCATCATCATCAGCATCAGCAGCATGATCAGTATCATCCTCAGCAACAACATCATCATCCCCATCATCGGCAGCATCATCGTCATCATCATCACCATCATAAGCGACAGCATCATCATCATCGTCAGAATCAGCATCAGCATAAGCATTAGCATCGTCATAATCATCATATCATCACCGTCATCATCATCGTCATCAGCATAATCAGCATCATCAGCAGCATCATCATCACCATCAGAAGCATCATCATCATCATGATCATCATCATCATCATCATCATCATCATCATCATCATCATCATCATAAGCGTCGTCGTCATCATCAGCAGCATCACCATCAGCTCATCATCATCGTCAGCATCCTCATCCTCATCCTCATCCTCATCCTCATCCTCATCAGCATCATCAACATCGTCATAATCAGCATCATCATCATCATCACCAGCAGCAGCATCATCATCATTATCAACATCGTCGTGACCTTCATCAGCAGCAGCAGCAGCAGTCGCAGCATCATCATCATGATCAGCATCGTCATCATCATGGTCGTCGTTATTGTCATCTTCATCATCAGTGTCATCATCATCATCAGCGTCATCTTCAGCATCATCAGTATAATCAGTATAATCCTCATCATCATTATAATCAGCATCCTCATCCTCATCCTCCTCCTCATCCTCATCCTCATCCTCTATCTTCATCATTGACCTCCTCCTCATCATCATCCCCATCCTCATCATCATCACCACCACCACTACTACCATCATCAACATTATCATCAGCATCATATCATCCTCACCCTCCTCCTCCTCCTCATCATCATCATCAGCAGCATCAGCAGCATCATCATTCTGCTCCTCCTCCACCTCCACCTCCGCCTCCTCTTCCTCCTCCTCCTCCTCCTCCTCCTCCTCCTCCTCCTCCTCCTCCCTTCTTCCTCCTCCTCCTCCTCCCCCCCCTCCTCCTCCTCCTCTTGCTTTTCGCGCGGCGCATCGTGGCTTTGCCCTGGGACGCTGCCTCGCGGACGTACACGCAACCTACGACAGGAACGTGCGCATTAGCACGGCGTCGGCGACGCCGACCACGGCGCGCCGGCGCACAGGGCGCGAGGACTGGCACGCAGACGGAGCCCACGCCGAGGAACCGAGGGCGCGGATGGCGAGGGCTCTGTCTCCTCGTGCTCGGCCCTGCTCTGGCTCTGCTGCTCCTCGTCGTTCTCCTCCCTCTTCTTCCCTCGCCAATTCATCACCTCTGGCACCTTGTCCTCCTCCCTTCCGTTCATCCTCTTCCTCCTCCTCCTCCTCATGCTCCTCCTCCTCCTCCATCTCCTTTTTCATCTGTTCAAGAACATGAGATCCTCCGCCAGCCAAACTGGAGAGCATGCGAGGGCACCCTCCCCCGGGATGCACAAGGACATCCAGCAAGCACCAAGAGAAATGTAGGGTGCCCTTCCCGAGCCCACCTCGATCTTGCGCCTCGGTCCGACCGTAACAGGGCAAAGTGCGTGCGACGAGAACGTGCCCAGGGAAGCAAGGAAGAACAAGTGCACCTTCGCACTTCGCGCTGCTTGAAGCACGCGAGCGCGAATAACTTCGCGCTCTCGCACCGCCCCCCAGGGGAGAAGAGGATGAGGGATCGGAGCAGAATCGCGAAGCTCGAATAATTTTGCGCCCTCGAGGGCGCCATTGGAAGAAGCAGCGGACAAGGGGGGAAAGGAAAAGAGGGGAACACGTAGTTGAGACTAAATGGACGAAGCATGAGAAAGGGAAGGGGAAAAGGTGTGGCCGAACGAAAACACGAAGTCAACGACGAACCCGCACGCAAGAACGACAGGACGGACGTGGTCCCGTGTAGCCCTTACAGGGAAACAGGGGTGAAGCAAGTAGGGGCGTTTGGGGGAGAAGCCAAGCGAAACAATGGGGCTTACAACGTAGAAGCGGAAAACGTGACAATAGCTCATTGCATTGAAGCAAGTACGCAGCAAAAGCTCATTGCATTCAGAAAGTTTGGCACCAGTTTCGCTAAGATGCTGACCAGTCCTGGTTGTGTGACGGATTTGACAACGATTGCCGATCTAGATAACTGCTGGCTTTGATGAGTTGGTAGCCGACTGTCAACAAAGGCTCAAGAGGTCGCACATATTCCTATGGGGACGCCTCACGGTATACAGGTCGTGGACAGGTGAGCCGCATGTCTGACGCTTGTGCTACCAATCGAGCGATGTGGGCTGATGCCTTCGGAAACGTTGACCACATCGCTCGGAACCACTGCTTGCTGAATTCGTTAACATATCTGTTGAACACGTCGCGGGCCTGGTACGGCCGAACTCGTTGAGCGGACATGGACGGCGCTCCAAGAGAAGGTTGAGACCTTCCTCGGACGCCAATCATGTACAACGGGCAGCATCGAAGGTGTGGTAACAATTTCTCACTTTCGTCGGTTACCGGCCAGCGCAAGCCCTCCGGGGGGGGGGGGGGCATATGAAGGAGCTCAGGGACACACAAACAATTAGACACAAATCCCAGGATCCCCCAAATGTTACATGCTTTCTGGATGCTCATCTTCCCCTCCGCTCCCCGTCTGCTCCATACTCTCCTGGGAATCGATGATTAGGTATGCCCTCTGTATTCGTCTTCCCACGTGCTCCCAAAATCCGATTGTCTTCCAGCGCTTCAGTGGCTCCTCGCGGGCCGAGGAGGGCATGGTGCTTGCGCCGGTTAGCGCTGCACGCCCACCGCCGCGGCGCCCCTCTGGAAGCCGCCCCGGCGCCCGCCAGCGCTGGCCTCCTCGCCACAGGTGAGCGCCGCGAGAGCACTCGCCTCCCTGAAGGCAGACCAATTCTCACTGAAAAGGCAGACGTGTCTGCCTTCAGCGAGACCACGGTCGCAGAACAAGCATGCCCTCAGGGAAGAGTGCCTTCCGTGAGCCCATGGCCGACGTCCCACGAGTTCCGCCTTCGGTAGGCGAGCGCGTTTCACGACTCGCCAAGTGACTACTCGCAAATGGCCTGGACCCGCCGCGGAGGATTAACGAGAAGTTACGTCGAAACAGACAGGTGCTTTTCGAAACATCACTTCAGGCATTTAACTGTTCTTCTGACTTTTCGACATGGTCACCACCTCCAAGAGGTATTCCGTGACAGTTTCATTGTGCCGTTGCACAGCTATTGCCCCAAGAAAAGAAAAGAAAACAAAAAAAAGAGTAGGCACCTTGCGAGTAGTGGAACGAGCTCCGTGATTCAGCGCAATTCCTGCCTCCAGTGAGCTCGCTGCCGCCCTCCACGCACGGCGGCAGGGCCTCCTCGGCGCGCTGGCCCTCCCAGGGAGGATGCCCGCGTCAGCGGTCGGCTGCCGCACGCCTCTGCCCGCTGGGCCTCCCGAGCACGCGCACGATCCAGGAGGCACCGTCTGAGCACAGCCACTGTCGGGGCATCGGCCACCCTTTGCAGGCGCCGTCTTGGGGCCTTCTTGGGGCCATCTTGGAGGCCTCGTGGGCGCTCGTGGGGCGATGTGGGGGACCTCTTGGGCCGTCCTGGGCCGTCGGAGAGCTGAAAAGAAGAGGACGCGACAATATTTCAAAAACCGAGGGGAAATCAATGATCTTGACGCTTTGGAGCCTTCCTGGAGGACCAGGGCCAGGCTGGCCTGCGTAGGGTACAGTCGGGGCGTTGACCTAGGGAACCCTAAATAAGGAACGAGGCCCCTTTTTTCCACAAGTTAAACTTCGATTCCCCATCGAACACATAAGGAAAACCTGAGGCAAGCTGTGAAACAATCAAGGAACGCCGAGCCCCTCCCCAACGAAAAGGGTTCCTTCTTCAGCGCCTCGACTGTACACCCTGCGATATGCTTAAGAAATCATGGGTTAAGAAATTCATAGTCTCAGAACTTGAATGAAAACCCAAAATGTCTATCAACATCTTGAAGTTCACACTGAAACATCAAGAATAATCGAGACTCTGGCCGAAAACTTAAGCTTTCTTAAGCATCGCCTAAGGTGTAGCATCGATGGCCCTCCGACTGCACTTGCTGCGATCCTGCGCCCGCGGCTGGCTGCTCTGCGCATGTCCGGGCGCGCAGCGCGGCGTCCTCCCCCGGACGTGCTTGCTCCTCCTTCTGGGCCCGCAGCGGGCGCAGAGACGCGCGCCTCGCGCGTGCTGCATGTTGGAGACGGCCTGCCCCGCTGCGGCTTGGCATCTTTTGCCCCCCCCCCCCCAAAAAAAAAAAAAGAGAGCCCGCCCACGGGCAAATCCGCTTCCCCTCAAGGGGGCTATGCCCGTGCGGCACGGCACGACGCTGCGGCTGCGGCTTGGCATCCTGGGACCGCAGGGCCGGGAGGCGAGGTGCCAGCACTGCTCGAGGAGCGAACGAGTTCGAAGCATCGGATCAACGAGCCGGCCGACGACGCTGCACGAACGCGCCGCGCATACGAAGATCCGAGCAGGTATCAAATCTTGACGAATGGCATCGGTCAGAAGCGACGAAGAGGACAAGATGTGCGCAGGAGGAAGAGCGCCGCTGGGCAAAAGGAGAAGCTGAATATTGGGAGCAAAACGACGGGGCGAGACACGGACCGCGCTCATGAGTACACCGCGAACAAGAGAATCTTGACACACTTGATGAAGACGTCCCTGGGCTCCCTGCTCCCAAGTTCAAGAGTCTGCTCCTCCGCCATCACATGATGCTCCCATTCTCAATCTCTTCCTCGTACTCCTCCTCCCCATCCGCTCTGAAGCGATGCTCAACTTCCAGCCGCAAGGAACCCCACCACACCATCCCTTTAGGGCGTGCGTGGTTGAGGGCATTCCCTCTTCCAACCCCCTTCTTCACCCTCGGGGAGGGGTTCATCACTGTTCACTACTAATATACACCCCCTCCCCCAGGCGACCGGGGGCCAACCAGGCACCACGCCGACACCATGACCACCCGCCCCCCACCATCCCTGTCAAAAAACAATACAAACCGCACTCTGCCTCCACATTTGGAGCATGCGCGGCCAACCCGATGTGGCCCCCCCACCATCCCTGTCAAAAAACCATGCAAAATACACTTTGGGTCAAAGTCTTGAGACATGTTCGTGAGGCCCGCGAGCACGTCGAATTGTTGTTGACAAGGACGGCGGGGGTGTCAGCATATTCCCTGCTGCGCGCAGGGCTACCATCCCTCACAAAAATACAACATGCACCTTCATGCGCGGCCATCCCGCGATCACTGTCAAGTGGTTTTTGACAGGGACGGCGGGGGTGATGGCGCGTGGCCTGCTGTGCGCAGGCCCGGCAGACACAATGATGGGCATCGGTTTTCGACAAGGATGGCGGGGGCCGACGTGTTTCCCGCTGTGTGCTGTCACGTGCGCAGGCGCACCTGACGCAATGTGCACGTGCCCCGAACGCGGCGCATCTGGCGCGGCTGGAGTGTGCGGCACACCTGGCGCACTCGGAGCACGTGGCGCATGTGGCGCAGCAGGCGTGCCTGGCACGCTCGGGCCCCTGGGGTGCCTGGCGCGCGGGGCGCCCCTGGCACGCGTGGCGCACCTCGCCCAAACGTCGCGCACCTGGGGTCGGCTTTGGTTCCCGGTAGCTGTCCATCCAAAGACGACCGCTGAACATGCTCAGGCTCGGGTGTTACTTATGTGTAAGGAAGGCGGGTGGGAGTGAGCTAGACGGCTTGCGGGCGGGTGGGTGTCTTGACCCCTCCCCATACCCCATACGTCGTTGGAGCGTCCAAGATGGCCCAAGATGGCTCCCAGAGGGTCCCCGAGAGCCCAAGATGACCTCCAAGATAACCCAAGAAGGTGCAAGATCGCTCAAGATGGCTTCCAACAAGCTCCAAGAAACCCCAAGACCAGTCCAAGACGTGTCCAAGTGGCCTCGGAGCCTCCCAGGGGAAGCCCCAAAGAGGTCAAACTCATTCAAACACCTAAATAATATCAATGATGTTGGCCCTCTCGGCCCAAGAAGGTCCAAAGAGGGGCCCAAGAGAAGCACCAAGAGCGCCCAAGAGCGCCCTAGGAGGACCTTCAGAAGCGACCCTGGGGGCTCTAAAGGTGGCACGCTAATTGAGCACATCCACTTTTTGAGCAACAAAAATATTGAAGCACACTCGGGACGCTTGGCCCATAGGGGACTAGTTCGGATGCTGTTGGCCCATGGGGGGCTCCAGTGGCCCCATACTCCCCAAGATTGCCTCAAAGATGGCTCCACATGGCCACAGAGACTCGCAAGGAGGGCCCCTAAGAGGCCAAAGTCAGCCCAAACCGTAAGGAACATCTATGATTATGGCCATCTCGCACTTTCGCTTCCGATGGGCCCTCGATGCCTCAAGATGGCTAAAAGATGGCCCAAGAGGGCACCAAGAAAGACCCAAGACGGCCCCAAGACGGCCCCAAGAGCGCCTACGATCGCCCTACGAGCGCCCCAAGAGGGCCCCAAGAGGCGGCTTGGGGTCTTCAAAGCGGGGGTGCTAACTGAGGGCCCTTCCTCCTGGATCGATATCCTCCAAGATCTTTCCAAGAAGGCCTCCCAAGGCCCCCAAGAGAGCCCCAAGAGGGCCCCAAGAGGCGCACAAGCGGCCCCAATAGGCTCCCAAGAAGACGCCCCAAAAAGGCTCCCAAGCGGCCACCAAGAGGCCCCACGGGGTCCCACATCCCTGATCAGCGCAACTCGCCTGGGCATCGTTTCTGGATGGACTGGTGGCGTTACGCGAAGCGTCTAGGATATCAGGGGTCAGCACCTATGCAAAGCAGCAGCTCCCAACCGATGGGGAAACCTGTTCCCCGCGCCACGCAGGGAAAGCAAACCGCAGGGCACGGACGGACAAGCAGGGCGATGAAAAGCGGGGGGGGGAAGAATACCCGCCTGAGAAGGAGCCATAATGAGGGTAAATCCAGATGGCGGTAGGGGCCGCAGAAGGACATATTAGTACTATGTGTCCTTCTCGGAGGCGTGCGTCCGACCCGAACATGGAGCACAACCATCGTATAACATATATCGCTTACCAAGCCGTACCCTACATTGACCAAATGTTGCACTACTTTGCGTCGATCTTCGCACGCATGCTTCAAACCTTCCCCCCCCCCTCCCCCCAATCTAATTCTGGGGTCATGCGAGAATGAGCTCCTCCAGATTTCCCAAGCACCCAACAAAATGTTGTACCACCGAGCTGTCTCGGCGATCCCGGCCCGCAGCCCATATTAGATTGAGGGGAGGGGGGGGCGAGCACGAAACGTCGATTGCACAACGACGTCTGATGTCGCAGGCACCAGGTGGTGCAACATTTTGTCGATGTACCGTATGGCCAGTCAGCGCCCGCCACGGAGCGTATACTGGAAAATTTCTCGGCGCGCGCGCGTCGCACCTTGGGGGCGACGCACACATAGTATTAGTATGACGGTGTAACGCGGAATGAGGGTAAATCTGGATGGTGGTAAACTGGCGGGACCGCAGGATGCATCGGACGCAGCGGCTTTTCCAGAGCGCTCCCGAACGCCCTGAGAGCATTCCAGAGCGCTCTGGAGAGACCTGTCCGCATCATGGCCTTCCCGACAGCCTTCCCTTCGGCCGCCCGGAATGAATACGGAAAAGATGCGCAGAATGCCCAACAACAAATGTTGCCCAGAACTGACAGCGGCCGCTACTGTGCAGGCGGCCATCTATCTCAAACCGACAAGCCCCGCGGCGGTGCGGACAGCGAGTCCTGTTCAAAATGAACTTGAGCTGCTGGCGGTCTTTGTACCTGTTACTCCAGATTGCGTAATGAAAGAGGGAGGGAGTCAAAATCCTCCCAGACGGGCAATTTCAGACTCCCCCAAACAAGCCATGAGAGGGCGGCCTTTTGCCCAGGCTCATTGGAAGAACCCTCCAAAACAGCTCAAATCGGACCCCCTCCCAAATCAGACCACCCCCCTTTTGTTGTGAAATCCGGCATGCCCATTTCGGTCGTCCAGATCTCCAGCCGTGGCAGGGCTAGCCTAAATCTGAGTATCGTTTAACCGATCCCCATCCCCAGCGGCGTGGCCTGGGCCCAACTGGCCGTTTCACCCCCCCAAGGTGGGGATATAGGTCGCTCCCTTCGAGCTTCGAGGGGCATATCCCCAACCGGGGTGGTAATCTGGTGGGGGTCTCGAATCGGGGAGACGTAAGACCCGGGTACGGGGGACTCGGAAATCCCCGACGAGGTCGTCAAAAAAATGACGAGGCCGAGCCCGCATTTTGACGAGGCCTCCCGCTGCAGACATCCCACGAAACTCCTACTCGTCAAAATCCGAGTCGCGGTCGTCAAAAAAAAATGGCGAACCCGAGTCCTGGCAAACCGGGGTCTTACGCTCCCCCGATCGAAGGGGATGAGGATGAGGATGGGGATCGGTCCAACAATGCCGAGAATCCCGGCAAAATCCCACTTCGCAGGATCCCAAGAAGGACCGCAGGGGAGCGGCCACCCGGGGCACGCTATCGGCACCATGCCTTCGGGAGGCGAAACCCCGCTGGAGTCCGCCTCTGCAACGCCTCTGGACCGCCCAGGAGCTCCGAAAGTGGCGACAGCGGCACGCTGGGGCAGCACCCTCAGGAAGCAACTGCTGGGAGGTCTTCGTCGGAAAGATTAGGAAAGATTGCGCCCCATTGCGGGGCTGTTACGCCAAAGTGGGCCTCGGATTAAGCGGGATTAAGCCGGATTAAGCGGGATTACGCGGGATCACGCGGGATTAAGCCAGATTAAGCCGGACTTCAGACCAGGACACGATCAGAATTTGACCTCCCAGGAGTTGCATCCGAAGTGGCACCCAGCGAGCCAAGGTGCAGCTTCGAAGCCCCACTTCAGACGCCACCCCGCTTGGACCCGAGCGGCGACAGCCCCGCTGTCGGCAGCGGCCCATGAAGGCACACGGCCCTGCCCCCGCCGAGGCCCCGCAGGGGCGCAAGAGAGAGAGTGGCGACGCCGACGCGCTCGGCAGCACCAGGAGAGCGAGGTCCAGTCTGGCTCCCCGGACAGCACCACCCCGCTGAATCTCAGAGGGCGCAGGGAGGATGCGGCCCTGGTGCGCTCGGCGGCACCCAGGAGGCCAAAGCCTGGTCCGGCCGGATTGCCGGGCGACGCCAGTCCGCTGGACCCCCCCACCACCACCGCAGGCAAGTGGCGACGGCTGCACACCGGACAGCGCCCTGGGGAGCGAGCGATGAGGCCGAGCGGAAGACCGCAGGATCCAAGACAGGCAGGAGGCAGGGGAGGAAACGCGAGGACGAAAGACAGAAGGGGCGCGAGGGGAGCTAGCGACATGTGAGCGACGAAAAGAAACGGGCCTTACGCGAGACGACGTAGCGACCTCAGGCGGCGGCTCACGCGAGCCGCCAGCGCGGCACGCCACATTGAAAACGATGGAACGCACGCGCGACCTTATGCGGGCAGCTTACGCGCGAGTGTCGGCACAGTCGAGCCCGCACTTCTGCGTCACACGCACGTCACAGTCACAAAGAATGTAGAAAGCGATGTCTTTTGTTTCCCCAGCGCTTCGGCCCCGGACAGTCTGAAGAATAGTTCCGAGAGCCCTTGGAGGGGCTAAAGAAGCCCCGAAGACGGCCCCAAGCAGACTCCAAGATTATCAGCCCAAGGGCGTCCCAAGACGGCCCCAAGGAATCTGCACGACTGCCCAAAGGTCGGACCCGGCTGCCCGAAATGCTCGTCCCAAGCCTTTTCGGGAGGGCCCGGCAGAAGCACCGCACCAAGGATGGCCCGCAGGGCCAGAGCAGAGCCCAAGACGCCCACCGGGAAACCCTAAGAAGTCCCACAATGGGGCCCATGCAGCTCCAAATATTCTCCGAAGAAGCCTCCAAGAACTCCTCAGGAGAGGTCGCAACAGCCATGCACAGTCACGGCCGCGCCACACTACAGCATAGTAGAGATGCACCCCAACGTCCGAACATACCGCGCCCGTCCATGGCAGCGGCACGGTGGCGTTGTTTGCCCCGGGCAGCTCGGCAACGGCCAACGGCTTGGTGCTCACATATGTTTCTCTCCACGAATGCGCAGCATCACTGGGGCCCCTTAAACGCGACCCGAGCAGCGAGCTCCCAAGACTCCCGGCGACCAGCGTTCGTAAGTGTACCGATGCCACCACCCTTCGGGTGATAAGGAAGATGGAGGGAAAAGAAACCGACGTCTCAGTCAATCGATCTCGCTATCGGTCTCGCTATCGATCTCACTATCGATCTCACTACGGATCCAACTATCGATCTCACCACCGACCGTATAATCGAACTCACCATGGATCTCACAATCGATATCACTGTTGATCGTACTATCGATTTTACTATCGATATCAATGTCGATCTCACTATCGATCTCACTATCGATCTCACTATTGATCTCACTGTCGATCTCACTATTGGCCTCACTCGATCGGTATCACTCGGTGGATCTCAAAATTGATCTCACTATCAATCACACTATCGATCTTACAATCGATGTAACTATCCCGCTCACTATCGATATCGCTACCGATCTCACTATCGATCTCACTGCCGATCACACTATCGAACACACCATCGATCTTACGATCGATCTCACGATCTACCGATCTCACTATCGATAACGTTCGATCGATCTCATTATCGACCTCACTATCGTCCTCGCGATCGATCTCACTATCGATCTCACTACGGGACACCAACAGGACACCGACGGGACACCGACGGGACACCGACGGAACACCGACGGGTCACCGACGGGACACTGGCGGGACACCGGCGGGACACCACCGGCCACCGCCAGACAACCCGGGGGGTCGGTCTGTTGGCCCGGCGGCGCCCTAGCCAGAGGAGGCTTCATTCCTCTCGCGCGCCCACGCAGATTCGCCTCGCCCGCACGCACGAAACGAACACCGAAGCGAAGCCAATTTAACCCCCTCACCCCCGATGTTATAGCACCGCTCCTCTGACGGAGGTCAGACATGCGAGCTGCCTGCAGTCACTTGAGATGCGGGTGCCGACAGAGGAGCTCCCAGACAGGGAGGAGGAGGAAGAGAGGAAGACAAGAGCGGTGAATCAAAACCACGCACAACTAAGACCCTACAGAGGACCATCACCACCGTGATCGAGATCGCGCGACCCAGAGCGCAACCCACAAGACTCACGGACTCGCGGATCGGTGACGGAAGGGAGCGGCCCGCCCTTCCGGACGACGCGCATTGGCAACACACCACCATGGAGCCTTGGCTGTCCCGATCTGCAACATGCAACACGCAGCATGCACGGAGCTCAACACGTAGACTGAAACCGTAGGTCTGGCGCGAGACGTTCGCCAGAACGTGGGCCACCACATTGAGCAAACACGCAGCGTGTTAACACGGACGTTGAGAACACGGTACGCGCTGCGTTGCAATACGGGCATATCAAGGCAGCTAAGCATGAAATCAATTGCTGCCAAGCTTGGCTCATCAGTCTGGAAAGGATTGGCGGCGCGCTGAAGGGAAATGCAGAGGGGGAGGGCCCCTCAGAACACCTGGAAGGCGTCTGGCCTTCTGAGACATGTTCCGAGCCTTCTCCGCAGACACAGAAGGCTTCTCACAAGGCCGGACAATGTCTGAAAAAGCGGCCTGCTGAGAAGGCCTGCCCCTTCTGAAAAAGCGGCCTGCTGAGAAGGCCTGCCCCTTCTCACCTCCCACCTCGGCGCGCCGCCGAGCTTTCGCAACACCATGAAGGTAATCAATGCCAAGCTTGTTCCTTCAGTCTCGAAAGGCGGGGGGGCGCCTGAGGACGGCCTTGCTTTCGCTTAAGACAAAGCCCGCGCCAGTGCGAACATTGGCTACGATTGTCGCACCGGGTGCACGCCGCAGGACACTAATTCACCGTAGCGCGAAGCACCGCCATAGCATGATGCAAATGCTCCAGCATGGCTCTCGGAAGCCCCAATGATGTGGCCGAACGTTGGATGGAGATCGTGGTCCTTGGAGGAACGCTAAGGGCCCATACGCCGTTTGTCAAATCTCTGTGGGCGTGGAAGAATCGTAATGATGAGCATCGCGCGCCTCGGCTACATGCTGTGGGCATTGGAACCAACGAATTACGATAATCATCTGCCCCCTCAACCCCCCCAAAACAGTGAGAGCCCAATGCCCCTGCTGCACTTGCTTGGCATGGAGCTGTGACAGCACCACGCACATCTTCCAATAGAAGAGCCCCTGCCACACGTCTCGACAGGGGGACTTGGAATATAGTGAGACGCAAGACCCCGATGGACTTGCCACACTCCTGGGTCTTTGGGAGTTTGGCGCGCGTGGGGGGGGGGACCATGTGTAGGATCATGTGCTCGGGCGTCAACCACTCGTCAACCACTTAGTAGAACAGGGAAGTGCGGCATGCCCATATTTATACACACAGATATGTGTACTCTGCACACACATATAAGGGTGAAAAAGACAGAGAGGGAGGGAGAGAGAGAGAGAGAGAGAGAAAGAAAAAGAGATGGTGGTGGTGGTGGTGGCGGTCAGGCGCTGGGGCGAGCGCAACATAGAAAAGGACATGCGGGCCAAACCCGTCATGATGGGGATCAGACGCTGGGGACCGTGGGGCATAGAGCCACGGCTGCGGCCCGCATCACATCATTTGTGCAACGATGGCCGCGGAAACTATCCAAGGCGGGTTCCAAGACAGGAGCAGGTGGCGCCCCAAAGAACGAGTCTGCGGGGACAGACTGCGGCCCCTGCTAGAAGTCCACTGCGACAGGTCATTCGGGAATAGAGGTCAACAACGATGGTGGCGCGAATGCCCAAAAATGCGAGGGGAATGAGGAGGAGAAGGACAGGATGAGGACGAGCGCGAGGAGGAAGGGGAGGCCCACCATCGAAAGGTGACTACCGCCAGAGTCATAGTCCACACTTGGCTTCGCACGCTTTGCGCGCTGCTTGCCCTTCCGCGGCGCTGCCCCCTGCGCAGTGGGCCGAAGTTACCCAAGCCGCATGATGGTCCGTGCTCACTCTGACTCATACACAGGGTCTTTCATCGCGGGCACGAACTGCTGCACCCTTATCAACGCGGCCACCTGCTTCTCACGAAGCACGACTACACTGAGCAGCACCTCGTGCTTCAGATCCCCCCAGCAACACCCCACGACCTTCTCCAGCCCCTCCTCCACGGACCAGCCCCTGGCGGCAGAGTGCCACCCTGGGCGGAGCGCACGGTAGAAACAAGCGGCCCACTCGCCACCTCGATCCGCCCATCGCGTGCCGCCCGCACCCCAGACTGCCCCAGGCTCGTTGTGTCCGTCCGTGGAGCGCCTTGTTGTGCTCCAGTCCCGACCAGGCAGGCGCCTTCCACTCCCCGCGCACCAGCGCCGCCCCGATATTGTCCCAACCCATGTTCTGGGAAGAACGAGGCTAGCTGAGGGGAATCCAAGGCGCGAAGCACCAGACAGAATGAATACCCAGACCGTGCGCCGAGCCAAACCAACAAGCTGTCCTGCGAGCGTGGCCGAAACACCGCCCATCGATGTCGACCCAGATTGTTCCCAGCATTATCGCCCACCACGTGGGTCCGACAACTGTCAGCATCCCGGGCGGCATCGTTGCGGGCTCCTCGTGGACGCCCGCAGCTCGCTGGAGCCATCTGCTCAGGCAGCGTCGGCTCGGTCACCGCAACAGCTGGCTGCTCAATGATGAGCATCGACTCCGCAGCACGTGTCAGCCCGTGCGTGGGCATCATCAGCTCTCTCTGTCTCTCTCTCTCTCTCTCTCTGACACTGCCGCGTAAACCGAGCGCTGCCTTCAGGCAGGAACGAGGAGGACAATGAGGATGACACGAAGCCCAGGAGGAAGCCCTCAGGGCTGGGAAGATCCCAAGGCACTAGCGTGCATGAATTTGTCGTTACTGGTGCTCTTCTCATGCCGGACGGTGTTTTGCAGGACCGTGAGGAGAAGGAGGAAAAGGAGGGATGCGGCGGAGAACAACGGGACCCCCTTTTCAATGTTCCGCCCCTGCCGGGCCGCTCTCTGAGGCTGGGCATGCGGAAGGTGATGCACTCTCCGCTCCTGAGGCCAGCTTGGGGAAACAGCGGCAGGGAGAGCAATTTATATCAGCAGGAGCAGAGAAAGAGGAGGACGAGGAGGAGCAGGGGGAGAGCCCGATCGGCCTGGTATGAGATGGAGCTGAGGTTAGATCGGAGAAGGGGGATCGTGTTTGTTCTCCAAATAGGCTTGCCCTATAGGAGTCCAAGCTCAAACCCTACTAATTGGTCCGTTGCACCCCCCCCTAGATTCCGACGCCCCCCCTAATTCCTATGGCTATGGCTATGCCTATGCCTATGCCGATGCCAATGTGCCCTCAACCCTCCTCTCTCAACTCCCTTCTGTTTTCCCAGACCAGGGTTTTGTGAGGCGCCTAGCCGAGGCACCACCGCGGGCGGCGCCAGCACAGGGGCGGGCCCGTCGGACGGCAGCACAGCCCAGCCCCCCGCCGAGAGCCCCAGGCCACCCCGAGCCCACAGAGGGCCAACCGCAGCTCACCCACAGCAGCGCCCTGCCGAGAGCCCGAGAGCACCACGGACCCCAAGAGGGCGCCCGAACCGAAGCTGCGCCTCGCCGAGGGCCTGCCGGCACGGGGGCGCCGCCCCGCGGAGACCCCCATCGGGCCCATTGGCCGCGAGGGCCACGCCACGCCTCCCTCGAGGGGGCATGGCCACGCCCAGGGGGGTCCGTCCTTCCCGCCACGTGCCCCCCCCCCCTAGACCAAGGCTCCACGCCTGAACTGGTCCAAGGGCGAGGGGCAACGGGCAGCTAAAGACGACCCCCCCTGGGCGGGGTCACGCTGTTCTGGGGACGGGAGGGAGGGCCAGAACAGCTGCAGACCAAGATGTGGGAACACTAACGAGCCTCAAGAGGGGGTCACATAACACACGGGAACCGAGATACGATGTGCCCTCAACCCTCCTCTGAATTCCAAGTATATTCCCACACCAAGGTTTTGTGAGGCGCCTAGCCGAGGCACCACCGCGGGCGGCGCCAGCACAGGGGCGGGCCCGTCGGACGGCAGCACAGCCCAGCCCCCCGCCGAGGGCCCCAGGCCCCCCCGAGCCCACAGAGGGCCAACCGCAGCTCACCCACAGCAGCGCCCCGCCGAGAGCCCGAGAGCACCACGGACCCCAGGGGGGCGCCCGAACCGAAGCTGCGCCTCGCCGAGGGCCTGCCGGCACGGGGGCGCCGCCCCGCGGAGACCCCCATCGGGCCCATTGGCCGCGAGGGCCACGCCACGCCTCCCTCGAGGGGGCATGGCCACGCCCAGGGGGGTCCGTCCTTCCTGCCACGTCCCCCCCCCCCCCTAGACCAAGGCTCCACGCCTGAACTGGTCCAAGGGCGAAGGGGAACGGGCAGCCAAAGACGAACCTCGCCTGGGCGGGGTCACGTTTTTGCATGCACCCCACTCTGGCCCCTCCCGTCCCCGTTGAGCCGTGCGCACACACACGGGGGGGTCTCTGTCCCACTACCTGCAGGGCGACTCGCAAGCACTTTCTGTTACACATGTTCAATGACGTGTTATTGATAATCGGTCGCCCTGCTTAATGTATAGCTGCCCAAAGTGTCTGGACCAGCACTGCCAATCGCTGCTGCTTGTTCGCGTCGAATACGCACTGCAGCAGGACCTGCACGCCTTCTGCGATATGTATTCGCCAACGCCCTATCTGAAGGGTCGCCCGCATATTCTGCGACAAACGGTAAAAATGCGTGGCGCCCCCTTTGCGGAGGGGGCAAGGGCGAAAGCCTAGATGGCGAACGCCCAAGCCGTCGAGGAGGCTGTCGAAGACCAGCCTGGAGTTGGCGACAGACCCCTGCAGCACCTGATCTCCTGGCTGCAGGTGGCCAAGGACATGTTCGCAAAAATGAGCGAAGCCTCGGTCGGATATGACGACCGAGTCCTCGACATGCCACCGCGGGCCGCTCTTCGTGATCGGCAAGGGGATGACAACACTCGAGCGATCCAGCGCGATCTGGATATGCCAACGGCGAAGCGAGACCATCACCGTGGTCCTCAAAAAGCCGCTGAAGCCGACGATCAGCAGAAGCGCAATGTCGTCGCGGCACCAGTACCTGGCAACACACGCCATCGCAAGAAGAAGATCGAGCGGCAAAGGTGGCACTCGATGCGGTAAATCGATACGTCGCCGCGCTCCGAACAAGTTCCATGATCGTGGAAGAATTCGACGGCGTCGAAATAGAAACTGCAGCCCAGAGAGAGAGCATCAGCAGCTTCATTAGCACCGCGACCGTCTGACCACAAGTACCCAATCCATTCTGCAACCTGGAAGTCAAGATACTCGATGTTGGCGCTCACTCGTTCACCTCTGAGGGCGAGCCACTGCGAAAAAATTGCAACTGCACTGCGGTATCTCTGTAGAGTCGCTGGCTGAATCAACGTGTCTGAGAGGAGCCCGATTTGTCTTCGAGCATTCCTGCGGCCCTGCTGGCTGGCCAAGGCCACAAACCTCCGCCGGCGCCGGCTAACCATGATCCTTCTTGTCAGCGACCCTGCGCGATGGAGCATCCTCAGGGTCACGGTCCGTCTCAGAATTTCCGTAGATTGGCGTGCGCAGGCTGGCCAGCACCAACACGCAGATCCTACTCACCACCACGTTCAGCACATGCGAGGAGGACCTCCCCTTCGTGGCGACTCCGATACCGACTTGACCATCCATCAAATGCGCAAAACGAGTACGAAGGTGCCGAGCCTGCCGTAGTCGCCAATGCAGTGCTCCCTGGCAGCTCCGCACCTCCAAATCCGCGATGCGCGAGGGGCGGGCCCAGCGCCACGACGCCACAGTTCGCCACGCCCAGCAGGCCGCCGACACTGGGCGCCTGGGCCAGGCAAGCGGGGACATGCTCTCCAGGGCGTCGAGCCGCACGTCGCTCCCACGCGCCTCCGCCCTCCTCGACAGCCCCTCGATCAGCGCGACCGACGGGCCTAGCGCGGCTTCACGGCTCACCAGGTCCCGCTGTCTGACCAGGACGCCCTTACCACCTTACCAATGCTATCGTGCTCGACCTCGCCAGTGCGCGCCTCCTGCTCTCCGTCGTCGTGCACGCGGAAGTCGCCCTCCATGACCACGTCGCCCTCCGCGATGGCGCAGGCGCCCCCCGTGAACCTCATGGCCCCCAGTGTCGGCACTTCCTGGAGGTAGCCCGCGGACACGGCCCAGCGCGCCATCAGCCAGGCGATCACGCAGCACTGCCCAGAAGGGCACAACGGCATTGCCCGAGGCCCTTGATGTCCTTCCTCGCCATCGTCGGCCGCGCCGTCACCGTGTGGCGAGGGGGGAAGTCGAGCAGGAGCTCGCGCTCGAGTGCGTCCGGCTTGCGCAGCTCCCCGTTGGGCTCCGCCAGGCAGTTGGCCTCCTTGCACTGGTAGGGGGGGGGTAGCAGTGCTCGTCCGCCTGCCATCACATGAGCGTGTCCTCGTCACACTGCCTGATCCCCGTCGGAGCCGAGCCAGGCACGCGTCGCGGCACGCACCTCAAGAAAGTAGGGAGCCGTCCGTCCCCACGACCGCCAGCTGGCCAGCGCACCCCAGGGCGCAACCATCTGGCCTGCGAGCCTGGGGTCTCCCGAGGCACCACGCGCACCCCGCCGCGTTCTGGCCTCACCTCGGCGAGCTGCAACGGTACCATCACGTGCTGGTCGACCCAGTAGACCCGGTCGCGATGGCAATGGGGGAACACTGCGCCGTCTACGAAGACGGGCCCCAGGTCCAGCTCGGACGACATCGTGTCGAGCGGCTCCTGATCCATCGACGCGACGTTCTCGATGATCCTGAAGACGCGGCAGCCCTCGCCCACCACCTCCGACGCCAGGCGCACAATCCGCTGGATCTCCAAGAACAGACGAGAGCGGCTGCCAGCAAGCCCTTTCCGACCGACCCCCACCCTCGACAGGTCGGCACAAGGGGGCCCGCGGTGACCAGCACCAATTTGGCCATGGGCGCCCGCTCCCTCACCCGCTCCAGGCAAGTGCGGGCGATGCTGGCGACGTCGCCCAGCTCCATCACGTCGGGCCAGCTGTGCCGCGCGACCCGCGCCGCCTCCTCGTCAACCTCGCTCGTGGCCAAAAAACCGCCACCGACCACCCCAAGGGGTCTAAGGCCCTGCGGCCTCCTCCGATCCCGTCGAAGAGCGACAGGAGGATGCCCTCGTCATTGAGACTGGTCGAGCGCCCGCGCTGAGCCGCGCGCGCCGCTGCCACGCCGCGCGGCAGGAGCCTGACTGATCGGCAAACCGCCCCTCGCCATGGGCTCGCGTCCGACACCGTGACCAGCCCGCTGATGCGCCGATGGGCACCCGCAAGTCGCAGCGCATCAACGGCATGAGGCACAGAGCGCTCACGAGCTCTCGCCGAACTGCGTCGGGAAGCGCCCTCTCGCCGCGCATGCGCACCAGAAACTTCCAGAACTCCCCGCAGCAGGTCATGGTCTCGCGGCGGTAGAGCATCATCCGCACCCAGCGCCCTGCCAGCACCTGCATCCACTTCTGCGCGACGCGCTGGCGCCTCAGGGTGTAGAGCGTCAGCGCGGCCACCCTGTGGCAGAACTCGCCTGGCGGCCAGATCGCACCCTGCTCGCCGTTCACGAAATCGCCCAGCGCGGTAGCCTCGGAGTCCCTGACCACGGCCTTCGCCTCGCTCACCGGGACGCCGAGTGCCTCGCACCGCTCGAGCGCCGCCCACATGGCCTCGGGCCGCCCCGCCAGCTTGAGCAACTCCATCTCTACGGCGGGTCCGACCTCCAGCATGTCCAGGCTGTCGAGGTAAACCTGCCAGGCGAGCCAGCACTGGTTCTCCGTCCGCGCGGGCTGCGCCTCGCCGCCTGGCCCAGGGGTGCACATCTCGTCCCAGAGCTCAATGATCTCGCCGCCGTGGCACCCCTGACTCTCGCGGCAGTGGCAGAGCAGCCTGCACCCGGACAGCTCTGGCATCCTGGCCACCAGCCGAGGTTGAGAACGCAGCCACATACCGAACTTCGCGATGACCTCCCAGCGGCCCCCGTCCACCTCCAGGCGGAAAGGGTTCCCCCACACCGACGCCTCGAGCTCCAGGTGCTGGCTGCCGCACCCGATGTAGATGTCACGCCACCCCGCCAGCGGCGGCGAGCCCACCTGGCCACGCCGCGGCCGCCCCGCTGACCCAGCTGGCCCACCCGGCCGCTCCAGAGTCTGCGGGGGCTGCCGGCTGCCGAACGCGCCCACGGAAGAGGCGACAGCGGGCCCACCTGGCACCGACACGTCGCCTCGCACGTCGTCGCGATCAGCCACAGAGTCGGCTGGCCCATCTGGCCGCGCGCAACTCCGAGGGGGCAGCTGGACGTCGGACGCCAACGCAGCTGAGACGGCGGCGGGCCCACCTGGCACCAGCACACCGCCCCGACCAGGAACAGGCACGTCACGACGAAACTCACGGTCCGCAGGGAGAGCCGGCACGTCGGCCCGCCAGCGCCGCAAGCGGCAACGGCGAACATGTTGGGTCACTCCCGTCGCCGAGACCCAGCCCGTCGGGACCACCGTAGAGGTCAGGTAGACCGACCCCTCGCACGACAACAGCCCCAGCGCCTGGCGCCGAGCTGGAAGCCACAAGGCGAAGTAGGGCCTTCAGGGTGGCGGGAGGCGGTAGACGTAGAAGCAACACTTGAGGTCCTCCGACGACATGGCGACAACCTCTCCTGACCTGAGCGCCACGCTGCGCCACTTCTCCGAGGATGGAAGCAGCGGCACGCCACATTGAATCACCTTCTGGATCGCTCTCGAGGGTGTCATGTTCATGACGAGCCTCTGGGGGCCCTCGCCGCGCTTGTAGCCGCCCTTGTGCACACCGAACATGCCGCCCAGAACCTTCTTGCCCTTGAAGACGGCCACCCCCATCGAAGCTGATGGGCTCGAGGACCTTCCTCTCGACCGGCACCGCGGCGATGCGGCCCCACTCCGAGGCCGACGCCCAGACTCGGGGGGCCCTCGGCATGACCTCGACGTCGTCCTCCGCCTGCAGGACGCGGCTCGGGCCCAGCAGCGCCTGGTGCACCCACCCCTCGCAGACACTGAGCACGTCAACCGACGATGCCGCCGACGCCGGAGGGAGCGCCTCGACGAGCCTCTCCAGATTCAAAGGCTCGGACGAGTAAACCTCCTCCCCTGTGTAGCTGACGGCGGAGGCCTTCACCTCGGCCCCCCAGTCGATCTCGGGCAACTCGCCGCCGCACTGATCCAGGAACACCCGCGCCTCCTCAGTAAGAAAACGCGCGGCAGATGTCTGCACCGCCGCGGGCCCTCCCAGGCTTGGCGCTAGACGGGGAGAACGCCCGCGCAGAGCGCAGTGGAAGTTAAGACCCACGATCACCAGGGAGAGCCAGTCGTTCGACTCCGGCATAGCCTGCACCAGCTCCCTCTCGCCAGCACCTCCACGGCGCGCAACGGGTACCTCGCGTACTTCACCAGACGGCAGAGGAAGAAGGTTACGTCTCCCCCGCATGGAAGGTGGCGCGGGAACATCAACAGCTTCCAACTCGTCTGCAACGCTCTCGAGCTCCACCTGATCCACGCACGCGTGCTCGTCACGACGTAGAGCTGGCTGAAGCGGGCATAAGATATCACGAAGCTGGCCTCCCTGAGCGTGTAAGCTGCTGGCCGTCACCTCGCGATCTCCTGGGATATCGAACTGCACCTCATCCTGCATCGCACGATGCCCCCCCCCCCCCCCCCCGCCGCACGCGCCAACTCCGCCGTTAGGCACGTCGGCACATGCGGGCCTCCGCGCGCCAGCTCCGCCGTTAGGCACACTGGCGCATTGGGGCCCAGCGGGGGGGGCCGTCTCGCCGCCCGCGCCAGCGCCGCCGCTCACCGCGCTGGCGCGGGGGGGGCACGCGCGCCAGCAGCGCCGTTAGGCACGCTGGCGCATTATGCCCCTGCGAGACCCCTCCTCTCCTGCCTCCGTCACGGCAGACTCCCAGCTCTCATCCGCGTCCTCACTCGCCTCTCCAGGAAAGCCGGCCGCCTCCACCTCGCCGGGGCGTCGAGCTCGTCGCTCACGCCTCATCCCCCTTGGAGCCCCTCTTGCCACCCTTGGGCCCCTTGAACCCCTTTTTCCGACTTGCCCTTGCCCTTAGCCTTGCCCTTGTTCTTGCCTTTGCCCTGCTTCACCCTGTCGAGGAAGCTCCGCGCGCCTGGGGCCGCTCGACCTGCTCCTGCACCTGGGCTGGCCAACGCGGGCCTGCGCGCCGAGGGCCCGTCTCCTTTCTCGTCGCCAGCGCGCGGCGGCTGCCCCCCCAGCTGCTTCGCGACCTGCGCCGCAACAGACCACGCGCTAGCCTCGTGCTCCTGCCTCCTGGCTGCCAGCCTCTTCGCCGCCGTGCCTGCACGGCGGCGCCTCCACTTGGCTGCCTGCGAACTCTGCAGCCCCTTCGCCATGGCGGTCGGCGACGCCCTGGGCGACGGCACCCCGTCGCTTGGCCTCTGGGGGGTGGGCCGCGTCACTCCCGAGCCCCCCCTCGGCCTAACCCCTAGGGGGGCTTGCCAGTCTTCTTGCCAGCGGCCGCCAGGTGCTGCGCCAGCCTCGCCTCGCCCTCGAACGCGCTGACGGCGTCGCGAACCTCACTGGCCCGCGCGAGGCTGGCGTTCACGTCGGCGCCGACCTCCAGGTGCTGCGCGACCGCCCAGTGGCCGTCCATGTGCGCCTGCTCAATGGCCTTGAGCCTCTGCATCAGCATGTCGCCCAGCTCGGGCCGGCGACCTGCAAGCAACGCGTCCAGGCACTCTCCGACCATTATCATCTCATTGTTTTTGCGCACCCCCATGGTGCGGGGCGGGTGCCGACCGTGCCACGCCGACGTGATGTACTGCACCACCATCGCCGCCATGCTGTTCAGGTTCTCCTCCGTGTCCGCCCCGCCCCTCTGCGCCAGCAGCTGCTTGATCTGCTCGAGGCCCGATGCTAGTAAAGCACCTGGCGCCGACCGACTCACAGACTGAATGCAGCGACCTGAGCCAGAGGGTAGGGCGTCGCGAAAACTCTCCGTCGTGTCGCTGGAGTCATCCTTGTCCCTGTTTTTCCTGCGCTTCTTCTTCTTATCATTATTAATAATATTGTTATTTTTATTATTATTATTGTGCTTGCCGCCGCCGTGACCGTCGAGATGCTGCTCGGCCCTCGACGCCAGGAGCGACCCGATATTACGCTTCTGGGCCAGACGATGATGCAGCTTTTCCTGCTTGTCCTTCAACTTCTTGGGGTCGAGGTCGCCCGAGCTGTCAGCACCGTCGCCGTCATTTGGGCCTGCTGTGCCTCCTGCCGCAGCGCCCGCCCCTCCAGGCAGGGCCGCCAGCGCCCCCACGCCAGCCGCAGCCTTGGGCGCGGCGGCCCCCGTGACGGCTCCAGGCAGACCTGCGCCGAAGGCCGACGGGGGGACCACGCGGAAGGTGTCCCCTTGCAAGACCTGCCGCCCTGGCCACATCTCCTGCCTGCAGATCACCGCGGGCCGACCGCCACACAGGTGGAGCACCGCCTGGCCCATGCCGAACAGCCCCTGGAGCATGGGCTCGTGCAGCGGCACGCTCGTCGCGAGGAACTGGCACTCCACGAACATGCCCACGACGTCGGGCGGCCAGCTGCCCCTCACGGCGAACCACGCCGTGCCGACTGGCGAGCCGCCCCTGTCGAGGAGCACGCCCTCGACCTCGCAACCGGACTAAAGCCCGAGCCCCCCCAGCATCTGAGGTGCAGCTGGCCCATGAATCCACTGCCCCTGGCCTCCAGGCGGCGCCGCCGCACCTGCTCCAGCCACGCCTCCGAAGCCCAGCAGCCCGCCGCAGGCACCCCCCATCATGGGGCCCACGGCTGGCGGCGGGAGGCCGCCAGGGATTGGAACGGCTCTCACGGGTGGTGGCGGCGGCACGCCACCAGCGGCCCATGGCAGAGGAGCCCCCCCCGGGGGCGGAGGCAGCGCGGGTGGGGCGGCCAACGCACCCGCCGCTGCTGGCGGGACAGGCGCTGCCGCCGCTGCCGCCTTCCGAGCCGCCTTGGGCGCCCTGCCCATGCCGCCCATGCCGCCCTCACCTCTCTTGGCGGGCTTGGGCGCTGCGCCCGCGGCGGGAGGCGGCACCGCACCCAACGCGGGCGGCGGGGCAGGCACCGCCTCCGGCGGCACCGCGGGCGGGGGGCCACCAGCGAAGCCCACGCCTCCAGCGCCAACACCCAGCAGGCCCCCAGGCCCGCCAGCGGCCGCGCCAGCTGCTGCGGCGGGCGCCCCCACGCCCAGCACGGCGCCGCCGCGCCGCTCGCGGGCGGCCCGCAGGCCGCCCTTCTCGGAAGACTCAGCCTCCCCTCACCAGCCAAGCGGAGCGGGCTGCTGGTGAGGGAGGCGTCCAAGCCAGAACAGCTACAGACCAAGATGTGGGAGCATTAAGGAGCCTCAAGAGGGGGGTCACATAACACACGGGAACCGAGATACTATGCCTATGCCTCCCCCCTAACTCCTATACGTACGTATACGCCTATGCCTGCTTGCTTGCTTGCTTGCTTGTTTGCTTGATTGCTTGCTTGCTTGCTTGCTTGCTTGCTTGCTTGCTTGCTTCCTTGCTTGCTTGCTTGCTTGCGCGCGCGCGCTTTCACGCTGCCTGCGCTTGCTTGCTTGCTTGCACGCTTGCCTGCTTGCTTGCTTGCTGAGTTGCGGATTCCGAGCATGCTTGATTCCTCCGATCCCTTGGTTCGAGTCAGATCTATTTGGAGTCAACGCTGGCTGATATGGTCCCTGCCGGGCTGCCGCCGTAGTCGGCCAACGTCGTTTCGCCAGCCGCCGCGCCGAGGCACAGTCTGGAGCAGTCCGCACAGCGTGAGCGCAGCAGCCGGAGCAAGCGAGGTCGAGGGAGGGGGGCCATGGAGAGAGGTGAGGGAAAGCAGTTCGGAGATGCGGGCCGACTTCTGAGATGGGCGCTGGGACACCGTCCCTGGCTCGCGAAGCTCGCCAGGGGCCCAGGCGCCGACCCAGGAAGAAGTCCGCTCGGACCTCCGAGAGCGTGTGGCTCATGCCGACGACAGTGGAGGCCAGTCCACAAGAGAAGCCTTCCACAGGAAACCCGACCCTGAGACCCCAGGACGTGCACTGACTTCTGGTGGGGGAGCGTCACGCTTTCCGTCGCAGAACCATCGAAACCCAAGAAGCCCAGGGCACCCTGGAGGCAAGCGGGGTGTGTCTTGGCATGGGTTTCCATTGCACTGTTCTTCGAGGCACCGGGGAGTGCGAGGGGAAGGCAGTCCGGGGGAGGCCGCTCGTCAAGGCCGCCGAAGCTCCGCGGGTGCGCTCTCGCCCGCGTCAGGGGCTTCAACGGCAAGCAGTCCGGCAGGCAAAAACGAACCAAAGCACACAGCCCCCGTCGGCCGACGCGGTGGGCAGCCCGCGAGCGCCGAGGCGCGGCGAGGCCGACGCGGCGTGGAGCAGCCGGCCGCTTGGCGCGCGAGGAGGCGCGCGGGCTGGCCGTCGGCGGGGGCGACGGGGGGGCGAGGCTCCCAGAGGTGCCGCGCGCGGGCCGCGCGGGGAGGCGGACGAAGGCGCCCCTCGTCCAGCGCGAGGCGCGCTCCCTCCCTCGACCTCTCGGCCTGCCTCCTCCGCCCCGCCCCCCGGCCGTGCCCCCCCTCCCTCCCCAGACGTCCGACGGCGCGCCTGCTCGCTCAATCCGCGGCCCCAGCGGAGCACACGCCAGCATTTTTGTTCCACGGCAACGCTGGCCCCATGAAGCGGTTCCAAGTGCCTGAAAGGGGCGGACGCCCAAAGCGGCGATAAAACTGCAAAAGCAGTTTGCGCCCACTTCGACCTGAACGGAGACAAGCAAACGTGCCAACGCGGCAGGCTGTCCTGCGCGCGTGGCCGAAACCCTGCCGAACCCAGCCGACCTCGAGGCATGGATTACGGCTACATGGACCTGGCGCGCGTGACAAGGGGACAGGTCGACCCCTGTCCCAGGCTTCTTGGGATTCTTCGAACGGACCAGAAGTCTGGGGCCCAACCCTGGGACATGCGATGTGGCGGCGACCACCCTTGACAGGGGTGCGTCGGAATAGCCCCCCTGGGGGTGTATCCCAGAGTTTCCCCCATTTTCTGAGCGGCCAGATTTCTCGGGCAGAACTCGGGGATTGGGGGAACTAAATCGCCTGTGAGCGTGAACGCCAGATCCACGGCTGGTTGAAGGTACCCCGGGAAACATGAGGCCAATGCCGCCTGATATGGCGACTGAGCAAGCCGATGCCGTGCGGAAACGGGGCCCGTCACTTACCAACGCGCCTCAATACAGGTTCGCCTCTCCTCGAGATTGGCGATGAGTATGCGATTGGGGCAAATGTTTCCTCCCTGGGCAGACCCCTCCCCCCCCTGACATCTGCCGACATGATGTTTTTCATCCGCGGCCCCAAAGCTCCCGACCCCTCCCCCCTGGGTGGGCTTGATGTCCCAGGGCCCGATAAACAAGCCCCAGAAATCGAAATTCAAGGCTTAACAAAAAACATGTAGAGGTCTCCCAACTGGGGTCCGAGTAGATTGGGTCGGAAGTGGCGCCGCATCGATGGTACCTCAGCGATGCTTCAGCGATGCATCGACAATACATCGGCGACGTCGACGTGAAGAAAATCGGCATCCACATCCAGCCGCATCGCCGATGCGTCGGCGATGCGGAGGGGTCCTTCGACCACACCTGCACGGACCCCATCTGAGAGGCCTAAAGTGGTTCGCCCCAGGTCGATGTTTTGAGGGTCCGATAACAGGCCCCAGATGCCGAAAGACAAAGACATGACGCAGCCTCGTCTCTACTAGAGGGACCTAGTGACCGACACTGTGCCCGAAAATCCTCCCGAGTGTGACTGAAAACCGGCGCCCGAGTTTTTCCGAACGCGCCAGAATGTCAGCGAAGTTCCTGGTTCGAAACTCCAGCGTCGCTCACTGTCGGTCACAAGTTCGGTCGCACTGCGTTTCCGGTCACGACTTCGGATCGTGACCGGTCGCATGCAGTTTCGGCTGATGGGGGCCCGGCGCCGTGAAGATCATGATCGCCGGAGTTCTGGGCCACGACCCTGTGTTGCTTCTGCACGCGCTCTTGCGCATCTTGCGTCCGCACGCTCCTGTCAGGCATCGCTGCGAGCCGCGTGGCCGAATCCGTGTCCCCGGGGGGGTCGGGACGCGCCATCTCTGCACAGGCCCCGAATCCTGGGGCGCGGGGGTGCTCCCGAAAGGCTGGACAGTTCCCGTCCTCCCCTCCAGTGGGGGGCGCCCAAAGAGGGGGGCACCAAACGAGGGGGGGGTCGCAAATCACAGCCTCTGAGGCACGTGCCCGGACGAGGGAAGGCCAGGGGACGAATTGAGGGAAGACGAGGCGGCCATGAAATCCGGGGCGATCTCGTAGCCACGGCCACGGTACGCCCCCCCCGCCCCGGTCGTCACGCCCCACTTCGACGCCCCAGAGCCCAGACCCCCGACATCGTGATGACTGTATGGCGTGCCCCTCCAGAGGTCTGGGCCCCTTCCCCAGGAGAAGTCTGTGATCCCGAGTCGACGCTCGACAGCCCTGGGGCCTGGCGATGGCCCTGAGAGACCGAAAACGGCGGCAGCAGCAGCAGCAGCAGCAGCAGCAGCAGCAGCAGCAGCAGCAGCAACAACAACAACAACAACAACAACAACAACAACAACAACAACAACAACAACAACGACAACAATCATTCTAAGACTCTTCGCTCTTACTTGCCCGCGCGTCATTCAAAACCAGTTCCCCACACCCTCGGTACCCGCCCTTTTCGTCATCGATCACACCCCCTTTGGGGGGATTATTTCTCTTTGCAGATGATGATGATGATGATGATGATGTTGATGATGCTGATGTTGCTAATGATGATGATGAGGTGTCCCGATGATGATGATGATGATGATGATGATGATGATGATGATGTTGATGATGTTGTTCGTGATCATGATGATGAGATGGTGATGCTGATGATGGTGGTGGTGGTGTTCCGATGATGATGTTGATGATGATGATGGTGGTGACGATGGTGGTGCCCCGATGATGATGATGGTGATGATGTTAATGATGATAATGATGAGGTGATGATGATGATGATGATGATGTCCCGATGATGCTGATGAAGATGGTGTTGACGTTGATGACGATGATGCTGATGATGACGACGTTAATTGTGATATCGATTGTGATATCGATAGTGAGATCGATAGTTAGGCCGGATGTGAGATCGATTGTGAGATCGATAGTGAGATCGATTGTGAGATCGATTGTGGGATCGATGGTCAGATCGATGTGAGATCGATCGAATGAAATAGATCGAGTGAGATCGACTGTGAGATCGATCGAGTGAGATCGATCGAGCGAGACCCATGGTGAGATCGATAGTGAGATCGATAGTGAGACCGATCGAGTGAGACGTTGGTTCCTCCCCCCCCCGAACCTCCTTATCACCCGAAGGGTGGTCGTGTAGGTGTATATATATAGGAAAGGTAGAGAGAGAGGGGAAAGAGGGAGAAAGAAAGAGGGAGGGAGGAGGGAGGGATGAGGCAGGGGAGGGGAGGGAGAAGGGAGGAGGGAGAGGAGGGAGAGGGAATAGGGCAGAGAGGCATAAGGATGAGAGAAGAGAGGGGGAGAGAGAAAAGGGAGGAGAGGAGGGAGGAGGGAGGAGGGAGAGGGAGGAGGAGCAGGAAGGTAAGAGCGTGAACGTTCGAGGAAGTCCTAGGCGAAAGCGCTGTTCCTGAAGGAAGTCTCGGGCGGGAGCCCACGACGGGCGGGCGATCCCCTGACGGGCGGGCCGGGCGGGTGGGACATTCAAGCGGGATGCCTGAGTATGGCGAGAGCGCGGTTCCTAATGAAATTGTGGCGGCGTCCTTGGCGCAGCGTGTTTCCTGAGCGTCGAAAGCGCGATTTCTGAGTAAATTGCACGGAACTCACAGGCGAGAGCGCAATTCCTGAGTAAAATGTGAAGGGTTATCTGGCGGAAGCGGGGGTTTTGATAAGATTGCGAAGAAGTCTTGATTCATTTGCGAAGAAGTCTCGAACGGAAGCGCCGTTCCTGAGTAAATTGTGAGGAAGTCTCGAATGGGAGCGGGGGTCCTGACTAAATTACAAGGAAGTCACAAGCGGGAGCACCGATCCTGAGTAAATTGTGAGGAAGTCTCAGGCAGGAGCGGGGGTCCTGAATAAATTGGAGGAAAGTTCAGGCGGGAGCCGTTGTTGTAATCCGGGAGGCCAGGGGGCACCAAGACTTCCCCTGTCAAAAAAACAGGGTGCGAGCGTCGAGGGGCACACTTTGATTGAGAAAAAACAGTATGCACTGGTGAGAGGGGATCAACAGCAATTACTCTTCAGAAATGAAAGTTCAACAACAACAACAACAACAACAACAACAACAACAACAACAACAACAACAACAACAACAATCACTTTACCCGAACGCTCAGTGTTCTCACCAGTGCCAGGGTTTTCATGCGACGCCAGCCAATACCCCCACTTTGTGGGGGGGCAGTGCAAGCTCTACCAAATATCCACACGACTCTTCGCCACCACCCACACCCAGCTTCCCGCCCTATGACGTTCGGACACTTCACTTCGTGGCCTGCGGACGACCGTGGCTACTACACTGGCGTGGAGTACACACCCACAGAAGTTGTTAAGCCTACGTTCGTACACCCACAGAAGTTGTTAAGCCTTGTTAACCCACAGAAGTTGTTAAGCCTTCCACAGAACATCTGTTGCATATGATGCATATGGTACATGATACACATGATACACATGATACGTACTCACAAGATAGTTGATCACATCTTTAGGGCAAATTCCTGAGGGATGTGGGAATACACAAGAGAGAGAGGATATGGTTGTCCCGATGGTTGTCTCGATGGTTGTCCCGATGGTTGTCCTGATGGTTGTGGTTGTCCCGATCGTTGTCCCGATGATTGTCCCGATGGTTGTCCTGATGGTTGTGCTTGTCCCGATCGTTGGACCTACGGTGCGATTCGTGTGATTTTATGATGCGCGGTGCTAAATTTGTTTTTGGAGATTTCGGCGTGCGCGCGCGAAGAAAAAACGAATGTGTCCCGCATGGTATTATTTGACAGGGATGATGGCCCTGGCAGGTGCGCAACCGTTGTCGCAGAAGTTCGAAAAAGTTGCTCGCAAAAGCCCGTTTGACAGAAATGTTTAAAAAGTGTTGGGTTTCCTACGAATCCGCAAGAGCGCGCGGGATGAGATTTTGACATTTTTTTGTTGAAAAACCATTGGTTTTTTGATGTTTTTATGTTAAAATCGCTCCGAACACTAAGCTTTTGGAAGGATTTCGTCTTGCGCGCGCGAATGTCCACTTTACCTTATTTTTTGCAAGGGATTCTTGAAATTTGATTATATTAGAACAAGAAATGTCATTTTATAGTGTTTTTTGCAAGGGAAAGCGGATTACAACAAAACAACCGGATCTTGATCACATCGTTTTACCTGAGGCTTCCTCACGAAAATGATGAAAATGTAGCTGCGGCCTAGGCGGCGCAGGGGGGCCGTGCACCAGGGGCCCCAACAATAATTATTCTTTAGAATTAATAATGTTCAACAACAACAACAACAACAACAACAACAACAACAACAACAATCATTTTACCCGAACGCGTGGTGTTCTCCCCAGTGCCAGGGTTTTCATACGACACCAGGCAATACCCCCACTTCGTGGGGGGGCATTACAAGCTCTACCAAATATCCAAACGACTCTTCGCGACCACCCAAACCCAGCTTCCCGCCCTATGACGTTGGGACACTTCACTTCGTGGCGTGCGGACGACCGTGGCTACTACACTGGCGTGGGGTACACACCCACAGAACTTGGTCACTTATTCGGGGCGCGCATGTGCCCAGCATGGTGCAATTGTGCCATACAATACATAATACAGAGAGACGAATGTGTCCCGCATGGTATTATTTGACAGGGATGATGGCCCTGGCAGGTGCGCAACCGTTGTCGCAGAAGTTCGAAAAAGTTGCTCGCAAAAGCCCGTTTGACAGAAATGTTTAAAAAGTGTTGGGTTTCCTACGAATCCGCAAGAGCGCGCGGGATGAGATTTTGACATTTTTTTGTTGAAAAACCATTGGTTTTTTGATGTTTTTATGTTAAAATCGCTCCGAACACTAAGCTTTTGGAAGGATTTCGTCTTGCGCGCGCGAATGTCCACTTTACCTTATTTTTTGCAAGGGATTCTTGAAATTTGATTATATTAGAACAAGAAATGTCATTTTATAGTGTTTTTTGCAAGGGAAAGCGGATTACAACAAAACAACCGGATCTTGATCACATCGAATTACCTGAGGCTTCCTCACGAAAATGATGAAAACGTGGCTGCGGCCTAGGCGCGGCGGGGGGGGCGCGCACCAGGGGGCCCAACAATAATTATTCTTTAGAATTAATAATGTTCAACAACAACAACAGCAACAACAACAACAACAACAACAACACCAACACCAACACCAACACCAACACCAACACCAACACCAACACCACCAACAATACCACCAACAATACCGTCGTGCTTGCTCAAGACGCGAGGGTGTCAGAGTTTCGGGCCGTAGCGCCGCCCACTACACCGCGCGATGACCCCGAATCCCAACTCACTCACCCAACGGTGTAGTCACGGTACCGTTTGGGGGCACACGAACTTCCCGTCTGACCCCCCTGGCCGACCCTGGCTTGGGAGCCAGGTGGAGCCGACCCGAGCTGGGAGCTCACTCCGAGGACGGCCCAGCGTTGATCCCCTTCCGACAGCTGGCACGTCCGGCGTTCACCAGATGAGCAGAGCAACGACTCCGCCTCCTCCTCCTCCTCCTCCTCCTCCTCCTCCACCTCCTCCTCCTCCTCCTCCTCCCCCTCCTCCACCTCCTCCTCCTCCTCCTCCTCCTCCTCCTCCTCCCCCTCCTCCTCCTCCTCCTCCTCCTCCTCCTCCTCCCCCTCCTCCTCCGCATGGATCCGTCCCCTTTGCTTGCCCGGCGGCGCCCTGCGGGGGCCGGTCCGCAGCGCCAGCGTCGCGCACCGCTCGTCGAGGCGCACGGGCGCGGCCTCCGCGCACAGGCGGGCCACGGAGGTGCCGCCGTAGACCTCCTCGCGGGTGCCCGGCACACCCCTGCCTGAAAGTGAATACAGCGGCGTGACGAAAGTTCCTTTGAAATTTGGAGGAGCCGTGGACGTGCCAAAATGGCATCAGCCAGCCCCTGCCCCCCGTAGAATCCTAACAAGAAGAGGTTTTCGGGCCTCTGCCACGGGCGGGATAATTACCCCCTGGGGTCCTGGGGCTTAATAATAATATACTTTAGATCCCGGACCGAAATTATCCCATTGATTTTTACGTTAAAAATGATTATCCCGACCTCTCCCAAATCCTGGCCAAATAACCCCATGGATTTGTTACATGGGAAACAATTATCCCGGGGTCGCCCCTACGGTCCTCATTCGGTGATTTCGGTTTTCTGCCTGTCAAAGGAAACCTTTGTCACGGCGAAGTAGGGGAACGAACAATGGCATGAACGTAATAAGTCGGAGGTTCGCGCGGAATTCTCGAATAGGCGCTGGGGCCCCTGGGCGGCGCCTCTGGCGCCGCCCCTGGCGCCCTCCGCGCGCCAGGGAGGGGGGCCCAGCGCCGATCCGAGAAATCCGCGCGGACCTCCGAGTTGTCATGTTTATGTCCTTCTCCGTTCCCCTAATGAAGAAAGAACTGCGCTGAGAACATGGGCTTCGCCGCAACCGTCTTAGGAGGCCGTGGCCCAGGTCCAGAGATGCGAGCACCCCCCTGAAAAAAAGAAAGCTCCAAAAAAAGGCCCAGGGTCCAGCCAAATTCTTGATTCTCGTGGACGAAATCTGTAGTCCATGAAGGCTATCGTTTTTCTCGAAACTTCTGATGGGCGTACCACTCGAAATCCACCGCTGGGGTCACATGTAGTATTTGTTCGTCTACCCCGCAGAGCGCGGTTACGACGGATTTCTGTTTCTTACTCTATTGGAGGGCGACGAGGGAACGAGGGAGAAGAGGAGGACGACGAGGCCGAGGGGGAAGCAACGACGACACCAAAACGCAGAAACGATAAATCGGGAGGACAGGACACGAGAGAGGAGGCGACAGAACGACGAGACAAGACGACAAGAGGCAAAGCGACAAGAAACGAAATGCGGCGACGCAGCCAATCCTCAGAGCTGGAGCGAAACTGGGATGAAGAACGCGGCCACATCCAGAATCATGAGCAAAAGAATCACGACGAAGATGAATAGATGAATACAAGCCCAAATCCACCACTAAGAGTCCCACGCCCAGCTCAGGTAGACCAATGAAGCAAGACAGCGATCGAACCGCACGGCGAATGAGGAAAAAGTACCATCCTGGGCGTTCGCAAAAACACGGGTGGCGCCCAACCGGCAGTGGTGACGGCAGGGGGGAGGGAAGAGGAGGCGAAGAGGAGATATGGGCGCCGATCACTCTAACTCCGAGGCTCACTGCCAGCGCGAGTCCAGCACCGCGGCGGCCCGGCGACGCCCTTGCACTGCCTCTCGGGCGGCTTGCTCCAGCGCCCGACGTACCGTGGGTTCGCCGCTCAGGGCCGCCCGTGCACGACGGAATGTGCAGTGCAGCCGGTAAGCCGCAGTGATCCGCAAGGCCCCGAGCGTCAGTCGAGCATCCGTGAGCTCGGACTGCGGCCCAAGAAGCAAGAAGTCCAGTCGCCGCGCGTCGCGGCCTCGCCAGCACGGCAGCCGCAGGTGTCCCGCCCCGAACTCGGCAAGCACGCGGCACATCGTGGCGTGTTCCACATAATCCCCGTCCTCGAAGCCGCAGAACAGGCATGCTTCGCGCCCGCCAAAGCGCCGCGTAGTGCACCAGCCCGACCAGAGCGTGCGCCAGGCTGCCGCCGAAACCCGTGGCGGAACGAGCGTGGCGAGCCGGCGAAGGACGGCCACCGCCCGCTGCGCGCGCAGCCGTGGGAAGAGCGCCATCTCCCAATGCTCGAGTTTCGCACGCATGCGCACCTCCGGCACCCTGCGCTCCCAGGCGAGAAGTAGATGCCCGACCGCGCGTTGCAGCCCTGACTCCGCCCTGCGCGCCAGAGAGCCAGTCCATGGCCGCGCAACCGAGCCGGCTGCCTGATTCTGTATCTCGAGAAGCGTGATGCCCTGTTGCCTGAGAGAGTCGGCGTTGTCCTGGAGCCTCTGGTGGTATGAAGTCGACCACCACTCGTGCCACCTCGCCAGGCGCTGTATGTGATGGGAGTCGCGGCGCAACGCCTCCAAGCGGCGATGCCAAGACGCGCAGTGAAGCCCGCCCTGTGCCCGAGCTTCCTGGTGCCAAACACGGAACTTCGCCGCGGTGCTCACGATCCGCAGATCCTGGAACTCCTTTGGGAAGCCGAAATCCCGCCAAAGGCCGTGCAGGACATCTGGGCCACACCACCGGAAAGGGCCACGCACCAGTAGACGTAAGATTCTGGCCTCGGTTGTCGGCCACTCCCTTGGAAGCGGTTCGAGCTGCAACAGGACACCCAGCGTGGAGGCGATGTACACCCTGTGTACGACGGCGGCGCATTGCAACCCGAGCTCGATCGAAGACCATAGGCGGGCCCGGCCGCTGGCCTTGTCAATGGCTGCCTGCCACGCTCGCTCCTCGCTTCCTGGCCCCAGAACGAAACCGGGGTACTTCGCCAGGGTTCTGGCACTGCGTCTGCCCCCAGGAAGGGAAAGAAGCCCGCAGCTCTCGCGCGACTTGCTCCGGGGGGCGGCCGCCGAGAGGCACTGCGACCACCTTGCGAAAGTTCAGTTGCAGCCCAGACGCCATTGCGAATCGGCTGAAGAGCAGAACCAGCGCGGGAAGAGCCGCAGCCAGGTCTGGCAGCACCGAGACCAGGTCGTCGGCGTAGGCTCGCGCCGTCGCGGCGGGCTGTTCGCGCCGGAGCCTCCTCAGCAATGGATCAACAGCCACTGCGAACAGCAACGGGGACAGCGGACATCCCTGTCGAATCCCCGCGTTGATCCAGAAGCCGCGGTGTAATTGCCCGCAGGCCTACAGGTAGCAACCATGCCCCCAGTAGAGATTCCCCACGAAGCAGCAGGCCGAGGGCGGTAGACCCAGACCCCGAAGGGTTCGAAACAGGAACTCGTGAGAAAGAGACGGGAACGCGGCCTGAGAAAGAGACGGGAACGCGGCCTCTTCTGAGTAGTACTACTAATACCCCAATATGATCCGTATTCGCATTAATATTCTGATTATTCGTATTGCTAATATCACGAATAATAGTAATCATAATATTACTAATGTTCTTAATACGTATCGTACTAGTATGCATTAGCAGTTGCATTCGCATTATCATTATCCGTATCATTAACACTAGTGCTCCTTAATAGTATCCGTACTGCTATTATGAGTAGAATTGGTAGAAGGACTAGTGTCATCATGATCATTAGTACTACTAGTTGTAGTAATACGAACAATACGGTTACTCGTATTACTACTACTGTTGAAACTACGATTAGTCTATCTGAATTACGGGTACTATTACTAGCTGTTTCGATTGCTAAAAGTATCGGCATTATGATTATGATTGTTAGTCGAATTTGCATACTTCGTGGAATTATTCCTGCTAATATGATCAGTTATATTCTTATCAATAGTAGTATCACTAAACAAGCAAGATCAACAGCATTACTAGTCGCCTTGGCTGTTGAATAATATGATTATGTTTCTTCTTCATTTCAATAGTTGTATTCGTCTTCTTCTTCTTCTTCGAGGGGGGGGTGCGAGGGCGACGGAGGTTTAGCAAGCGAGACGCGGCGAGACGCGCGAGAACGTCCTGCCCGCGGAGGGGTCGTGACCCTGCAACGTCTGCGTGGAGTTGATGAGCTTCGCCGTGCCAGTCTTGCAGCATGGTGCTGGCAATTTCGAACGCGGCGCAGGTGATTTCGAGAGCGCGGAGATGCTGCCGACAGCATCGGGCGCGCCATGGAAGTGGTGGCCCGCGTGGCACGGGTCTGCCCATTCGCCTAATCAAGGTCATCCGTGTTTTTGTCCTCACTGCTGACTGCGTGGAATTGGCAGAGAAGGAACTGTGGTAGGCCACCTTCGCGGTCGGAACCTGTCCTGACGGGTAGGACCGTTCGGCCCTGCGATGCAGCCGCGGAGAATGGAGGTCAAGCGCGATTTGCCCCGGGGCGGCGCGGGGACCCAGACTGTTGGGCAAGAATGGCCCAGCGAGCCCGCCACCTTGGGCGGAGGCGCAGCGTCTGCGAGCAGCGTCTGGGGGCAAGGCTTCTGAGCCGCCTTCTCCTGAAAGGTAGGCAGCTCGGGCGGCACATGCGCTGCTGCGGCTGCGGGGGCCATTTGGTGGATCGCGTCCCGGGTGACGATCGTGGCGATCGCGGGCGTGGCCTCGCGGTCTTCCGCGAGCGGGCCGGCCGCCGCGGTCGCTCCTGCATCCGAATCGCGGCGGCCAAGGTGGATGGTAAACGGCCATGGGCACATCGAGCCGTGGCCTCGTCCAGCGCCCACATGGCCTCGATGTCGGGGTTGGCATTGTGACCCGTGCGGGCAGCCTGCTGGGGGTGTATTGGCGAGACCTCTCCCCCCGCCTCGAGATTCTTTGCGGACCGTTGACGAGGACGGCTCTTGACACCTGTTAGGTGAACAGCTCCTGGCGCGGGGTAGGAGGCTGTGACCTCTGCCTCGCCGATGGCGGCTCGGATCCAGGCAACACTGGGGCACGAACCGAGCGCGACTTCCACAGTGTGGTGGCGGCACTCGACCGCCGCGCTGCCGAACTGACCGCCCCGTCCACGTGCGCAGCTGAAGCCCCTCCCCCTCCCTCCCTCCCTCCCTCCCTCCCTCCCTCCCTTGGCGGCCACATCGCGGCGACGCATCGCGGTGATAGCCATCCCGGTCCACTGGCACAGGATGGCCCTGGGCCCCGGGACCGGGAGGGCCAGTGGTTGGTCCTGCTTGTCGCGACCATTCTCATTCCTCGCGGCCATAAATAGAGACAGACAGAGAGAGAGAGAGATGCTGCTGCTGCTGCTGCTGCTGTTGAACGCGTCGCCACTGGGGGCGCGCTTTGGTTGAGCCACGACGGGGGAGGCCCAGCATGCCAAGTCGAACCTCATAAATGGAGGGCTGGACTGCTTCCCGGAGTCGGCGCGGCGGCT